CCGCTCGGCCTGTGCGACGGGTCCCCGCTCGGCACGGGCGGCAGGTCCTCGCTCACGTGGGTGGTGGGTCCTCACTCTCCGGTGTGACGGGTCCCGCTACACAGGCCCCTTCTCTCTAAGCCACGGAGCCGCTCACACAGCCGCGTGTCAGCCTGTGGGTCCATCGGACAGCAGAGCCCGTCACAGCCACGCATGGGCCGCTGGAAGCCTGTTCTTGGAGGAGATGGCGGGGCGAGCACAGATGTGGCCGCCCCTGCATGACTGGCTCTGTTCCCTCTCGCCCCTGCTGCTGTTGGGGGTCACCTGGGCTCCCAGAGCGGGTGGGGCTGGGTTTGCTGAGCTGCCGGCTTCTCCTGCCGCGTGTCTGAGGGTTCCCTCCATTTCATTTGAGGGGCAGTCGAAGGCCTTTCACCAACGGGCATCACTGAGGGTCCCTCAGTCTGTTTCCTTGTGAAGCTCGGCCCACAGTGAGCTGTGCACGTCCAGTCGCACGGGGACCTCGGCCACGGGTCCCTCGCGTGGTCAGCACAGCGAGCGAGCAGGCCTGGCCCTGACCCGAGGGCCGGTCACTTCTTAGCAAGTCCGAGAAGCCGGGCTGAAGGTGAAGGGCCTGCTGCTGGGAGCGCAGAGGCCCTGCCCGCTGTGTGTTCTCGACGTGAGACCTGAGAGACCAAGTCTGTGTTGGCCTCAGGAGGATGGGGGCGGGGGTGCTTTGCTAATGGTTTGGATGAGGAGGAGGCTGTGAGGCACTTATTTTTTATTTTAAATTTTTATAGTTTTTACTGATCTTAGAGATGGAGGAAGGAAAGGGTAAGGGAGAGAAACATCAATGAGAGAATCATGGACGGGCTGCCTCCTGCACGCCCCGCTGGGGATGGAGCTGCGACCCCTCCTCTCCGGGCATGGGCGACGCCCCACCCTCTGAGCAGCCGCCAGCTGGGAGGCTCCCATGTCAGCAGCTGAGCCGGCACAGGTCCCGGCTGGGTGAGGGGGGGACAGCCTTTCTCAGGCGGTGGGTGATCCTTTAAGGGTCTGACCTGCAGCAGGTCGGCCGTGGGGACCCCGCGAAGGGTCGTCAGAAGGGCAGTTGCTCTGTCTGCGGGAAACGTCACTCTGGCCGCAGCATGGAGGGTGCATTTCAGTTACACTTGTGATGAAGCTCAGGTCAGAGCGAAGAGGAAGGCGTGTGCTGGGCCGTTGCCGTGGTCCAGGCAGGAGGTGACGCGAGAAGCGAGGCTGCCCGGGCTTCACCGCGTTCCAGTCATGACTCCCCTGTGCAGTGGGGTCCTCCTGCGGCCCATGTCTGGATCGTGGGGGACTTACGTCTGCGGCCAGTTCAGATGCAAGGCCTAGTGCAGCTACGCATCAGCGCCTTCCACGGACTGGCTGGGACAGATGTAATTATCTTAAAGGACACAAAGTGTTGACATGGGAAGGGAATGTCTTGCAAGTCAGCTTAAGTTATAAGCAGCCTAGGAGACTGCGATAAAGATATATCATAAATGGATGCCCAGTTTATGCCAACCTCTTTCTCTAGGCCAGTGCTGTCTAGTAGGAATATAATGAGCCACAATACAAGTCATACATGTAGTGTTACATTTATTTTCTTGTAGCCACATTAAAAGATAAAAAGACCAAACAGGTGAAATTAATGTTAATAATACACTTTAACTCAGTATATCCAAAACATTACCATTGAAAATGTAATATAAAAATTGAGTTATTAATTTTCCTATTATCCATAGAAACATTATATATAGCACCTTTTTCTTATACTAAATATTTAAAGTCCTGAGTCTCTTTATACTTTTAGCATGTATCCATTCAGGCTAAGGCTAACCACATCTCAAGTTCCCCCACAGACACAGATGGACTCTGGCTACTGTACTCAATAGACACAGGTGGCCGCTGGCTAACAGGTGGCAGCTGGCTACTGTACTCAACAGACACAGGTGGCAGCTGGCTACTGTACTCAACAGACACAGGTGGCAGCTGGCTACTGTACTCAACAGACACAGGTGGCAGCTGGCTACTGTACTCAACAGACACAGGTGGCAGCTGGCTACTGTACTCAACAGACACAGGTGGCAGCTGGCTACTGTACTCAACAGACACAGGTGGCAGCTGGCTACTGTACTCAACAGACACAGGTGGCAGCTGGCTACTGTACTCAACAGACACAGGTGGCCGCTGGCTACTGTACTCAACAGGCACAGGTGGCCTCTGGCTACTGTACTCAACAGACACAGGTGGCCGCTGGCTACTGTACTCAACAGACACAGGTGGCAGCTGGCTACTGTACTCAACAGACACAGGTGGCAGCTGGCTACTGTACTCAACAGACACAGGTGGCCGCTGGCTACTGTACTCAACAGGCACAGGAGGCCTCTGGCTACTGTACTCAACAGACACAGGTGGCCGCTGGCTACTGTACTCAACAGGCACAGGAGGCCTCTGGCTACTGTACTCAACAGACACAGGTGGCCGCTGGCTACTGTACTCAACAGGCACAGGAGGCCTCTGGCTACTGTACTCAACAGACACAGGTGGCCGCTGGCTACTGTACTCAACAGGCACAGGAGGCCTCTGGCTACTGTACTCAACAGACACAGGTGGCCGCTGGCTACTGTACTCAACAGGCACAGGAGGCCTCTGGCTACTGTACTCAACAGACACAGGTGGCCGCTGGCTACTGTACTCAACAGGCACAGGAGGCCTCTGGCTACTGTACTCAACAGACACAGGTGGCCGCTGGCTACTGTACTCAACAGGCACAGGAGGCCTCTGGCTACTGTACTCAACAGACACAGGTGGCCGCTGGCTACTGTACTCAACAGGCACAGGAGGCCTCTGGCTACTGTACTCAACAGACACAGGTGGCCGCTGGCTACTGTACTCAACAGGCACAGGAGGCCTCTGGCTACTGTACTCAACAGACACAGGTGGCCGCTGGCTACTGTACTCAACAGGCACAGGAGGCCTCTGGCTACTGTACTCAACAGACACAGGTGGCCGCTGGCTACTGTACTCAACAGGCACAGGAGGCCTCTGGCTACTGTACTCAACAGACACAGGTGGCCGCTGGCTACTGTACTCAACAGGCACAGGAGGCCTCTGGCTACTGTACTCAACAGACACAGGTGGCAGCTGGCTACTGTACTCAACAGGCACAGGTGGCCTCTGGCTACTGTACTCAACAGACACAGGTGGCCGCTGGCTACTGTACTCAACAGGCACAGGTGGCCGCTGGCTGTTGTACTCAACAGGCACAGGTGGTCGCTGGCTGCTGTACTCAATAGACACAGGTGGCCGCTGGCTGCTGTACTCAACAGACACAGGTGGCCGCTGGCTACTGTACTCAACAGGCACAGGTGGCCGCTGGCTGTTGTACTCAACAGGCACAGGTGGTCGCTGGCTGCTGTACTCAATAGACACAGGTGGCCGCTGGCTGCTGTACTGGCCAGTGATGGCTTTTAAATTCTATTCCAAAGATACATGAAACATTTGAGCAGTACTTTCAAGGGTGCAACCCCAGTTTTTCTCATTAGAAAAGAAATAAATCACTTGGGGTATCACTTTAAAACCCGAGTACATTAAGTAGGCATATTGAATCTCTATAATAGTAATATCAGTACACAGAAAGTGGGAGCTAAGTGAGAATTATCTGAATATCTGATTCTTGTCCACTATTGCTTTCTACAGTCTCAGAATGTGAAATAGCCCTAAATGTTGCTTCCATTTTGAAGTGGAGCCCAGCAGGTGATATTCTGTAGGTGCACCATGTGGAAGGCGTCTGGGTGTTAAAGATGGAGGTGGATTAAGGTTGGAGATGGAGACCCTCAGGGAGGCACAGGAAATGGTGTTACGGGTCTGTGGTAGGTGGCTGATAGCTACATCATCTCTGTAGCGTTGCCTAGTGTTCAGCTGGGCAGTTAAATTGCTTCCCACACGGCGGGGTGGTCAGGGCCCTGCATAGCCTGTTCGAATGTTTGGCAGCATCTAGCTCCCAGGAATAGACGGGAGCGAGTGGGAGGGTCTGCCGTGCAGGTGGGCGGTCACAGAGAACGCCAGCTTCTCTAAGTCCACACCCGAGGACAGGCCTGTACCCAGCGGACGCTTTCATTTCCGGGAAGAAGTGAAGCAGAGCTGCTCAGTGTCATTTCCCCTTCCGCTGCCCCGCACGTGGTGCCCATGAGCCGGAGCCGTGTTTGGTGGATGGAAGGACGGAGGGATTACGGAATGCAGCCTGGGGAGAGGGAGGTCAGGGTCAGGGGACTGAGGTTCCGTGGGGTGGAAGGATGGCTTTCGCGTCCCACAGCGGTGGGGGCCGAGCAATGGAAGGAAAGGGGGGACCTAAGGGGGCGGGCGACGTGGGACACGGGCTCGCAGTAGCTCTAGGACGCCTTTCAGCATCTGATGCGCTGACTGGCGCCGCCTCTCAGGTACGGGAACGGCTCGCGGAGCTATGCTGTCCGGGTCGGGGATTACCACACGCTGGTGCCCGAGGAGTTTGAAGAAGAAATCGGAGTCCAACAGATTGTCATCCACGGGGCGTACCGGCCGGACAGCAGTGACCACGACATCGCCCTGGTCAGGTT